TATCTCACTGTTTAACTGTTTACTTGATACTGTTTAAAAATTGCAGACACATTCAATATGGATTTAAAATTACACCACAAAATACAGTAGCATTTCTGTTTTTATGGTTTTTACAATTAAAATGATCAAAAAATTATCATTAACCTGTGGAAGACCTAGCTGTTATAAAATGTTTTAACAATTATAGTGCAGTGCAGAGAAATTAATATGCAAAACAGAAAACTGAGAAAGTAAAATGGCTTGCCATACTGTGCAGTGTCAACTTACTGTCCTCTGCAACATTCCCTGCAAATTTCCATTCATCTCCTAGTGCTCCTTCAGGTAGCTTCTTGTGCTGGAAACACAAGGGAAAAATTTGTCATAATTATCAAAGCATAGCGCACATCACCCTACACTCAGCATAAGCAAACCTGGGGTGTGTTAGCATTGGAAGTCAGGGTGTATCTCCCCAAGTACAAACTTGAGCTGATAATAATGCAGTTGGTTGCCCATTTGTGTATCAGTACTACATATTTGTACTAGGAGGACACCCTGCTTTAGTGATTTATCTCTTTTCTGCCATTTCCAATAACACCTTGAGTTGCAAAGCTAACTAGTAACTGGTTTCTTTTCTCAGTATACTTCTGCCATTACCAGTAACATTCGGAGTTTCAAAGATAACTGGTAACTGGCCTCTACTACCAGTATGCCTAGAACTGGGAACAACTGTAGCACCCTGATAATGAATGGCAGTTTGCAGTTAACTGTGAGACTCAGGGTAGGAAGGGGGCAGGGAGTAGGGTGGGGTTGTCATGATGACCTGTTGAATTGGCCTTGCCAGTTTTAGTATTTCATGCTTGGAAGTTGTGCTATAATGAGTGAGAAAAAATGTTCAGGTATTATGCACTAAATGCACTTCAAACAGCCTAGGTCTAACTGTAAATAATGAATGAATAAATAAAACACTCATTAGCTGTTATATAAAACCTATGCCAGAATAAAAATGTTGAAAATTAAGCTTGAACTACAAACAAAATATAATTACTCATCTAGAAAACTAATAAAACACAATCAATGCAATAGCATGTAGATTCAAATAAGCAAGCTGTCATAGCTTTACACACAAACATATCTCTTTGAGTTATTTAACCATAGTGAAACTTAAATCCTATTACAAAATTTGCAGATTTGATTAATATACAAACAAAAACTATTCAAGGTGAAAGGGTGCACATTTACACTAAGAGTTAAAACTGTTTGCATTTTGATACTAGTTACTTTTAAAAAATCCATAAGCAGCCACAACAGTGCTAGCTAGCTCTTACTTCTTGTAAGTTGTAAAATAAAACTGTAAATAGTGCATCTACTTTCCTTGTTTCAGCCACATTAGATAAATTAGAGCTACAGTGCATCATTAATAATATTTAAACATCATTTTACTTTCCTCTCAATGCATGCTAGCAGAGGTACATGTGCTGACAGGTGTGATATAACTGTTAGTCTTTGCTCCTTGTTACAAATATGTCAGTGTATCAATATGTGATATATATATATACAGTTTAGTTAGTTAAATGAAGAAAATAATGGCAATATTACACCTTTTATTAGAAAGCTGTACCCTGGACACTAACTGGTGAGTTTGTTTTATGCTTATGATTATTTCTCTATTGGAAAAATGGGTGCTCATGGAAATTAAAAAAAAAATTGAAAGACTGTTATGTCAATGCTTATATGATTATAATTACAATTATCAATGTATTTTAAAGAGCTAAAATGTCACTTCACACAGGTATTCCCTTCTCCCATTGAAGGTTTCTAGACCACAGGTTTGAATATGAACAGATATAAATCAAGGAAAACGATTTAAAATGAACTCTCAACATCAGCTCCTTTCCTCTTCTAGAAGAGGTATATATAAAATGCTGTGGTCTGAACACCAATTAATGTAATTTTTGTAGTGATTATTTTACTATTCTAAAAATGCAGGGTGCCTGTGAAAAAATAATGAAAGAGCATTACAAAAAGTTATATCTATGATTATAACTATCATGGTTAATAATGTTTTCTTATGTGCTAAAAATCACTTCTATCATCCGATCCTGCCTGCAGATCTTGTAATCATAGTAACATTTTTAGTGCCGTTTCATAACCTGATTTAAACTGGTTTACGGCTTTCAATAGGCTCAAACTACAAAACTGATGCAACACTTTCAAAAAAAGCCACAAACACCAACCAAAACTTGAATATCAGGTAATTTAAAAGCTTCAACAGGCTCCTATTATTAACTAAGGCCCTGTTCCACATAACTCAGCCTAAAGCTGATCTTAACTTTTAGACAAAATATTTGGTTCACTTTCAATCATGATAAATCTATAGTAGCACACTAAAATTAACAAGTAAGAGTCTCAACCACTAGCCTTTTCTCCCTTTTAACAAAACCAGGACTATCTTCTTACTTCAGTGAACTACTATTCATTTATCTTGAGTCAAAGTCCTAATAATTTAATGTCATCAAGTTAAGACCAACTATGTCTTAAATATTTTTGTTAAACAGGTCGCTGCCCCTACAACCGTGCGATGGCAAGGAGTGACTCACCAAATTAAGTCGTGATTGTGCTTTTTTGAGAGCATAGCTTGTATTCATACTGTAACACTATAATGGAATAATAAATGGACACAAATGGAAAAAGGGTCAAAAAGTGGTCCTGAAAAGGACATCTATCTGAAAATTTAATGTTAAAAATGCAGTGGTAGTGAAGGGTTTGGACATTCAGTTCATTTCCAAGGCACTTTAACCCCTCCATACCTCAATGTGTGTGTGTGTGCGTGTGCACGCGCATGTGTGTGCAAGTGCATAATGAATTCTAAACCTGGATAGAGAAGCAATATGTTAACATATTTGCTGACATATTTTATTACATACTTGTGACTTTTTCCTTTTTCTTTTTGATGCAGAAAGGAATAAATATTGCCATTGTTTAACACAAAACTTCTTCAAAAGCAACATCAAATTTCTTATATCCTGTTTCTTTTTAAGCACAGAAAAATTAGTATGAACTCTGAAATGGGTCACATGGTAGAGAAGAGAAACGTGCTCCTTGTCTGGTGAAAATCTCATCTTACCTTTAATATAAACTTTCTTTTCAAAGCCTCAGGAGAAGGAAGCTGGGTAGCTTCCTTGTCTATAGGCTCTGTCAGTAGTTGATCTGTAATAATAATAATAATAATAATAATAATAATAATAATAATAATATTCAAGAAGACTACATATTTTGCAAAAATACAAATTTATATGATGGCTATATAAATTCTAAAGTAACTTAGGAAAAGTCAACATAAATATTCAATGACAACAACAAATCTTAGCAGGCTAGGAAAACACCTTGAAGTTTAAAGTCAGCTACATTCCCAAATATTTTGAAAAGGAATTTAAAGGAATAACAAATAAGTAAACATTTAAATAAATAAATAAATAAATTAATTAATTAATTTACCTCCAAACACCTCCTTGAATCCATTGGCCATGTTTCTCTGTTGTTGAAGACTGCAATGATTTTCTATTGACAAAATGACAGGATATCTGAAATAACAAAATTTTTATTCATCAAATTTCAGGCACATCCATACTGGGTGCACTATAGAATAGGACATTAAGCATTATGTAAAACAAATTCTAATTTGACTGAAGAAAAAAGCTGAAAATTTAACCCCATTTTAAAGACAAATTTATTAAGGCTGATTTTGTGTCTTTAATTCAGCTATTTAACTGCTATTAAATCTGCATATTTAAAGTGAACCCATTAAAAAAATAAATTAGAATAAAACAAACATAAGAAATGAACTTAAAAAGAAAACGAGGTTAAAAAAACTCACTCTGAAGTGACCCAAGCATTTTCAGCTATAGTCTTGAGGACATCCAGAAATTTGACCTTAGAAGTTAGAGTGTGTCCGTGGTAGATATAGGGCATCCCTTCAGGCCCGTCCCAGCAGTCCACTAGAAATAAAGACTGGTTTTTATTAAGATAATGCCTCCATCTTTTCAATGGGGTAAAATTGAGCATTTTACTGACACTGCATCATGGTATTCTTTGAGTCAAAATTTCTTAAAATTAGAGCATTCCTGTTGTCAATTCATCCTTTTTTTTTTTTTGCAATCTTAGTACATTAACCATTCCTCTATTATTGTAAATAATCTTATTCATTATTATTATTAGCATTAGCAAATGAATATCACTATCATTCTTGAACCCCCATCTTCCATTCATATAACTACTACAAATTAACCTCTTCCAGAAGATTTGAATGATGAGGTTAACTAATCAATCTTTTAACTAGAATGAAAATTAGTGAATACTTTTGGACACCCCTGTGTCTAACCTAGTTAATATACGTACATTCAATACAGCGTGCCCCCATACGTAGACATCTTCCGTATGCCTCTGTGGACGACTCACTGGAAAACTGATCCCCAGTGAGATATCTGTGATTAAAAGAATTATTTACTACCACAATGAAATACAAAAAAAAAAAAAAAAAAAAAAAAAAAAAATCCAGGTTATACAATAGCATACATACTATTAAAGGGATAATAACTCTTTGTTTCGGCCAAAAAATGAATTTTCCTGGAGTAAACAACAATTTTCCCATACTTACCAATNGTCTGTACATAAAAATAAAGGACGCCTTCATGGTACTGCCTGAAAAATAGGATGTATAAACATTAATCTTCTTTCCCATCTTCAGATGACTTCCCTTAACCATAACCATAATTGCAATGAAATCATTTTCAAAAATGCACATTTTTTTCACTTAAGCAAGCATGACTTTTAAGAAGTAATACACTACTCTTACTTTTAAAAGAAAATTCAATTTATAAAAAAAGCTCTTTATTCCAAGAAAAACTAGCTCCAAGAGGTTCAGTTATCTCGAAACTGCAGAATAAATTCAAAGACAAAATCTTTTAATATTTTCGATACTATACCATCATTAACATAACTAAGATACTACACAGCAAACTTACTTCTGTCCTTTGTGACTCTGGGGTTGAGGAACCGGGTCCCCCAGGATCATTTCAAAGTCCTGACTTCGCAGGGGGTTATTACGGTAGAATGTGACCAGACTGTACAAGCTTTCAAACAGCACGTTGTCTATCAAGTAGTAGCGAATCTCGCCGCGCTCCTGACGGGACTTGATACGACAGTGGTTCACTTTCCCCTGACGCCTGAGGAAGAAATCATTAGCCAACTTTTTACTGATCATCTTGTGTTAATCAGAGGAAGAGAAATGAGAAAAACACTGCCATAGCTTTTTCTAGGAAATATTGAAAAAGACTAATGTATACAAGATAAGCAGATAAATTACAAGTAATACTCCATATACACAGCAACGAATGTCAGTAGGTAATTAATATTAATAAAATAGGTAATAGCAATAATTTTAGATGCAGTAAGCCAAAGTTCAGCTCTTAGTTGATGTTAACAGGTATAGATTCTTACCAAAGTATAAAACTTAGATGTGAAAAGTGTCACAGAGATAATTTTTATTTGCCATAATTCTTCATTTATGAAAGCATAAATCGTAAGATGACAGCTGTTTGATTACGAAAGCTAGATCATAAAAATAACTCACTAATATAAGCTTGAACAAGGCCGATAATTTAAGGTTAATTAATTTTTGTTAGTTTTTCCTGATAGGTGAGCCAAAGTTTTTTTGCAACTACATTTCTTTTTATAATTAACAACTAAAATAGGCGACTTCAGAAACACGAGTGATTATTGTAGGTTATAATTCTTACATTCAGACTGTTACTTCATATAAGATCACACATAGTACACATGAGCAACTTACTGAGATTATATCTAACAAGAAGCAATAAGCAGATTAGAGTCTTTTACTTTAAACAAAAACCAATATCAATATGTAAGTAAACAATTAAATTGTGCTCTTTTGTCACATGGTGTTTCATGAAACAAACAATACATCAGTGTGTGAAGTGGAAACAGCACTTCAAAAATTAAAAACAAAAACAAAACAAAATGTAATACATGGACTATGAAACAGGTTTTCAGTCGACATATTAAACTACAGCATACAAGACATCTATATTAAGTGGTCTTTAAGAAGGGTGCAGCACACAGTGACTGACACATTCCACTCTAAATCCGGACTCACCAAATGGTGCAAGCAATAAAGTGTCATCTAACTTTCTAAATAACTCACTTCATCAAATTCACCATGCAAGCAAACGCCTATACATACCAAAACGACAGAGTAAAACTACCCACAAACTCCTTGCTATGGCGGACCAAGAAAGTTCCGTCGCCTTTAGCAGGTCCCCACTGAATCAAGAGGCTCTCAGCGGTCTGGCGTGACCCGTTTCCTCGAATATAGTCATGGTACCACTCTTCGGAAAAATGCAATTCCCTAACCTAAGGGTAACATTAATACACAGTGTCAAACTCCATGCCATGCTAGGAAGAAAGGGGAGACAACGAGGGCGCTGGGACTTACCAAAAGGAGAGGGAAAAATCACCGACAAATGTGTCGCTTTCTCGAACTAGGAATGTGCCGTCGCCGAGGACTGCGTACTCGTTCAATAGCTCCTCCGCTCTACGTCGCCCACCCTCAAGCTTCCCATGAAACCACTTTTCACTGAAGTGCAACTCTTCATTTGATACTCCCTAAAGTAAGAAGATTGGTGAGTATTTTGATTGAGATCACCCTAGATAGAAAAAATATAACTGATCAAAGACAGAAATATATGTAGATCTATATATATATCCACACATCATATTATCTTGATAACAAAGAGACACAGAAAAACATGCAGTTCTGGAGGGGCAAAGTATTTCAGAAAGCTATATGAAATGTTAAAATAATCATGGTAGAGGAATCCCTGTCCCACAACACATAACAAATAAGGTATTTTTACTCATTGAAAAAGTTTCCAATCAAACATAAAAATTTTGTGGTATGGGACAATGCTATTGCCAAATTCAAAATTAAGCTTTTCTGTTAGAAAGGGGTTCAAGTATCCCGGCCAACACCATGGAATCTAGATATGTATACCAGTTTAAGCATTCACCACTAAAAACAGATCCATCATGGAATATTAAAAACATAATCCCTAAAACAAATACATAAAACAAAACAACACAAATAGACACCAAGCAAACATACATATATATATATAAAACAGGAACCAGAGGTAAACTAAAAACAAACAAATGAACAAGCAAGCCAACAAATAAGCAAAATTTCATATGCAATTTTGAGATTGATATACAGAACAAACTACAGATCAAGATGTACAAATTACACCATATGAAATTTAAAAGCTAGTACTTTGAAGAACAAAAGTGAACCAGAAAAAGTGAGTGTGACTCAGTGAAATAGAACACATTTCTATCTTTTCTTCTCGTGACATTCATTCTCACTTCAAGCAGTGGTGACACACAAAGTCCTAAGAAAGTGGTCACTGTGATTTTGATAATTAGCTGGTGGCAGGTTTGCATACACTGATAATTGTGCTTTTTTTTAATATGGTGGCAGGTCTGGATGGACTAATAAGTGTGTGGGTCTTTCAAAAGGTGCTAGCATACCTTCGTTTGGGGAAAAAACAAAACCAGAATGCTGTGAAATATCATTTTGAAAGGGAAGACAGTAATTGCACATTGAGTGCTGACTGTGTACTGATAAAGAATTGCAGTAGTTAAACTAATTTTCATTATTAATATATAAAAAGAGTGAAAATAATCCAAAGCCAGGAAATTCTTGTAGGGTGACAATCATATCTTAGGTGCAAACACATCTAAGGACACCAAAACACGATTCAACTGATGGCATTCAATCTATTCAGACAAATATAAAAATCAAAAGATTGATCTTGTAAACTCTGGACAAAAGTTATTTAATTTCAGTGTTAAAGAGTGGGTGTAATCGCTTGACTTTTTTCATTAGAACATCTTTAATGTGATATGACAACTTACCACAATGTTAAACAAGACCACAATAGTGATAGAAAGCTAACAGCACTTATAAAACCTTGAGCCAGGGTTTACAAAATGTTACATCATTCTTTACATTTGAAACCTGGGAACAGCATTCAAAACAATCACCTGTCTACGTGACACCATTCAAGAATCAACAAGGGATCAAAAATTATATAACATACAAAAAATACTTTGAAAATAACATGAACATGTTCTAAGGAACCATGCTTCCCAGCATTCCATTAGTTACCTCCTCCCTGGGCTAAAACATAAACCATGAAATAGAAAAGGCAATACAATGTATTCCATAACCACAGAAAGAGAAACACAGAGAAAAATATTAGCACATTGGAAAACAATTATAGTATTATCTCATTTTTGAACACAAGACAAAATTTTGTTTGACAAATAAAACAATTCTGAACTCACACTTGCAGAATCTGTATTTCTGACTTATGCTTATGATGGTTTACAATTATAATGGACCAGGTCAAATGAAATAAGAAAAATATAAAGCTTTTACCATACTGATTTGGAGAACATTTAATCTATACAACACAACATAGCTTTTGCTGGTATTATTTTTGCTCCAGATAAACAGTTAAATTACTCATTGAAATTTTGGACTTTTCCCCTTTGCAAAAATGAATCATCTCTATCAGATATCAAATTATCTGCTAGTATGAATTCAGAATCTTGTACTATAATTCACCAAACACGTAAAGCTGAAAACCATATCCCTTGTAATTAATTTTCAACCACAACAGGCCCAAAATTGTCTCCCACATGCCCAGAAACTAACCCTTTAAGGCAAGGCAAAACATCAAACAAAGTATAACATTGAATCTAAGACTGGTAATCATCTTAACACAAAACTATTATGTTCAGTATTACAACAATATCAATATTTAAGATTCTGCATTCCAAAAAATAATTCAATAAACCATCAAATTTTAATTCCAAGTTTGCCACATCATTTTTTTCATTATAATATATAAATTCATAATTTGTTTTTGTTTTACATGTGCATAATATTTGTTGGGTCAAGTAAGAGTAAATGTACAAGCACTTTAATAAATAAATAAAAATGAAGTAAAGAAATAATATGTTCATACAAGTGAATCTCTTACATCATTATTGTCTATCCCGGGTAATCAATTGTGAAGGAAGTAAAAACCTGAACAGTGATGGTAGGAGAGAAATGGCATAAATCTCACCTCAACATGGCCGTTCATGTCAGGGACCTCTTCCTCCTCATCGTCCGCCTGCTGGACACTGGTCTCCTCTGTGTAGTGAAGGCGTGTAGCAGTCAGGACAAAGTAATGTGGATACCACTCCTGTATGGCAAAGGGAATATAACACTAAGTTAAAGAGTCACTCCATGACATAAACTTCCAGTAATTTTACTTCACTTCAGGAAAACTCTTATTTGTCAGCTAAAATGGGCTCAATAGTACAATTAGTTTAGACTGGTACAATATGTAACACCCTTGAAAATTCACTTAGTGACTCCAAATTCTGACAGTTTCAACTTGGGACCATATGCAAAATATTACTATCTCATAAGGGAATATAGAGTTACAGTAGCAGTAACATGTCTTTGTATCCAGCAGATGTTTACAGATGTGAGCAAATGCTACTATTCATAGACTAACCCAAGGTACCTCTGGCCCATACACTGGTGGTACAATATTTATATATCACTTACATTGTCCACAGGGTCCTCCAGCCATAGCATGCCATTCTTCACAGAGCTGCTGAGATCTGCTTCTGTCATACCTGGATTTGTGTATATATTATATTAAAGTATGTACATATTGGTCATTTTGCCTAGATGGACTCAAAACACACATTTTGCAGAATATCTCACTGTTTAACTGTTTACTTGATACTGTTTAAAATTGCAGACACATTCAATATGGATTTAAAATTACACCACAAAATACAGTAGCATTTCTGTTTTTATGGTTTTTACAATTAAAATGATTAATATGATCAAAAAATTATCATTAACCTGTGGAAGACCTAGCTGTTATAAAATGTTTTAACAATTATAGTGCAGTGCAGAGAAATTAATACGCAAAACAGAAAACTGAGAAAGTAAAATGGCTTGCCATACTGTGCAGTGTCAACTTACTGTCCTCTGCAACATTCCCTGCAAATTTCCATTCATCACCTAGTGCTCCTTCAGGTAGCTTCTTGTGCTGGAAACACAAGGGAAAATTTTGTCATAATTATCAAAGCATAGCGCACATCACCCTACACTCAGCATAAGCAAACCTGGGGTGTGTTAGCACTGGAAGTCAGGGTGTATCTCCCCAAGTACAAACTTGAGCTGATAATAATGCAGTTGGTTGCCCATTTGTGTATCAGTACTACATATTTGTACTAGGAGGACACCCTGCTTTAGTGATTTATCTCTTTTCTGCCATTTCCAATAACACCTTGAGTTGCAAAGCTAACTAGCAACTGGTTTCTTTTCTCAGTATACTTCTGCCATTACCAGTAACATTCGGAGTTTCAAAGATTTCTGGTAACTGGCCTCTACTACCAGAATGCCTAGAACTGGGAACAACTGTAGCACCCTGATAATGAATGGCCGTTTGCAGTAAACTGTGAGACTCAGGGTAGGAAGGGGGCAGGGAGTAGGGTGGGGTTGTCATGATGACCTGTTGAATTGGCCATGCCAGTTTTAGTATTTCATGCTTGGAAGTTGTGCTCTAATGAGTGAGAAAAAATGTTCAGGTATGCACTTCAAACAGCCTAGGTCCAACTGTAAATAAATGAATGAATAAATAAAACACTCATTAGCTGTTATATAAAACCTATGCCAGAATAAAAATGTTGAAAATTAAGCTTGAACTACAAACAAAATATAATTATCCATCTAGAAAACTAATAAAACAATCAATGCAATAGCATGTAGATTCAAATAAGCAAGCTGTCATAGCTTTACACACAAACATATCTTTTTGTGTTATTAAACCAAAGTGAAACTTAAATCCTATTACAAAATTTGCACATTTGATTAATATACAAACAAAAACTATTCAAGGTGAAAGGGTGCACATTTACACTAAGAGTTAAAACTGTTTGCATTTTGGTACTAGCTACTTAAAAAAAATCTATAAGCAGCCACAACAGTGCTCTTTGTTACTTCTTGTAGAATTGTAAAATAAAACTGTAAATAGTGCATCTACTTTCCTCATTTCAGTCACATTAGATACATTAGAGCTATAGCGTATTATTAATAATATTAAAACACTATGTTATTTTCCTCTCAATGCATACTAGAAGAGGTGCATGTGCTGACAGGTGTAATATAACTGTTAGTCTTTGCTCCTTGTGACAAATATGTCAATGTATCAATATGTGATATATATACAGTTTAGTTTGATAAATGAAGAAAATAATGACAATATTACACCTTTTATTAAATAGCTGTAGCCTGGGCACTAACTGGTGAGTTTGTTTTATGCTTATAATTATTTCTCTATTGGAAAAATGGGTGCTCATGGAAATAAAAAAAAATATATTGAAAGACAGTTGTGTCAATGCTTATATGATTATAATTACAATTATCAATGTATTTTAAAGAGCTAAAACGTCACTTCACACAGGTAATCCCATCTCCCATTTAAGGTTTCTAGACCACAGGTTTGAATATGAACAGATATAAATCAAGGAAAACGATTTAAAATGAACTCTCAATATCAGCTCCTTTCCTCTTCTGGAAGAGATATATGTAAAGAGCTATAGTCTGAACACCAATTAATGTAATTTTGGTAGTGATTATTTTATTATTCTAAAAATGCAGGGTGCCTGTGAAAAAAAAATGAAAAAACCATTACAAAATGTTATATCTATGATTATAACTATCATGGTTAATAATGTTTTCTTATGTGCTAAAAATCACTTCTATCATCCATCTTGTAATCATAGTAACATTTTTAGTGCCATTTCATAACCTGATTTAAACTGGTTTACGGCTTTCAATATGCTCAAACTACAAAACTGATGCAACACTTTCAAAAAAAGCCACAAACACCAACCAAAACTTGAATATCAGGTAATTTAAAAGCTTCAACAGGCTCCTATTATTAACTAAGGCCCTGTTCCACATAACTCAGCCTAAAGCTGATCTTAACTTTTAGACAAAATATTTGGTTCACTTTCAATCATGATAAATCTATAGTAGCACACTAAAATAAAGTAAGAGTTTCAACCACTAACCTTTTCTCCCTTTTAACAAAACCAGGACTATCTTCTAAAGTCAGTGAACTACTATTAATTTATCTGAGTCAAAGAACCCAATTTAATGTCATCAAGTTAAGACCAACTTTGGCTAAAGATATTTTTGTTAAACAGGTCGCTGCCCCTACAACCGTGCGATGGCAAGGACTGACTCACCAAATTAAGTCGTGATTGTGCTTTTTTGAGAGCATAGCTTGTATTCATACTGTAACACTATAATGGAATAATAAATGGACACAAATGGAAAAAGGGTCAAAAAGTGGTCCTGAAAAGGACATCTATCTGAAAATTTAATGTTAAAAATGCAGTGGTAGTGAAGGGTTTGGACATTCAGTTCATTTCTAAGGCACTTTAACCCCTCCCTACCTCAATGTGTGTGTGTGTGTGTAAGTGCATACTGAATTCTAAACCTGGATAGAGAAGCAATATGTTAACATATTTGCTGACATATTTTATTACATACTTGTGACTTTTTCCTTTTTCGTTTTTACACAGAAAGGAATAAATATTGCCACTGTTTAACATAAAACTTCCTCAAAAGCAACATCAAATTTCTTATATCCTGTTTCTTTTTAAGCACAGAAAAATTAGTATGAACTCTGATATGGGTCACATGGTAGAGAAGAGAAACATCCTTCTTGTCTGGTGAAAATCTCATCTTACCTTTAATATAAACTTTCTTTTCAAAGCCTCAGGAGAAGGAAGCTGGGTAGCCTCCTTGTCTATAGGCTCTGTCAGTAGTTGATCTGTAATAATAATAACAATAATAATAATATAAATAATAATAATTACAATAACATTCAAGAACACTACATATTTTGCAGAAATACAAATTTATATGATGGCTATATAAATTCTCAAGGAAAATTCAACATAATAAGGTTTCAAAAAGACTTTTTAAAATATTCAATGACAACAACAGATCTTAGCAGGCTAGGAAAACACCTTGAAGTTAAACTTTAAAGTCAGCTACATTCCCAATTTTTTGAAAGGGAATTTAAAGGAATAACAAATAAGTAAACATTTAAATAAATAAGTAAATATACCTCCAAACACCTCCTTGAATCCATTGGCCATGTTTCTTTGTTGTTGAAGACTGCAATGATTTTCTATTGACAAAATGACAGGATATCTGAAATAAAATTTTTATTCATCAAATTTCAGGCACATCCATACTGGGTGCACTATAGAATAGGACATTAAGCATTATGTAAAACAAATTCTAATTTGATTGAAGAAAAGAGCTGAAAATTTAATCTCATTTTAAAGACAAATTTATTAAGGCTGATTTTGCATCTTTAATTCAGCTATTTAACTGCTATTAAATCTGCATATTTAAAGTGAACACATTAAAAAAAGTAAATTAGAATAAAACAAACATAAGAAATGAACTTAAAAAGAAAACGAGGTTAAAAAAACTCACTCTGAAGTGACCCAAGCATTTTCAGCTATAGTCTTGAGGACATCCAGAAATTTGACCTTAGAGGTTAGAGTATGTCCGTGGTAGATATAGGGCATCCCTTCAGGCCCGTCCCAGCAGTCCACTAGAAATAAAGGCTGGTTTTTATTAAGATAATGCCTCCATCTTTTCAATGGGGTAAAATTGAGCATTTTACTGACACTGCATAATGGTATTCTTTGAGTCAAAATTTCTTAAAATTAGAGCATTCCTGTTGTCAATTCATCCTTTTTTTTAGCAATCTTAGTACATTAACCATTCCTCTATTATTGTAAATAATCTTATTCATTATTATTATTATTAGCATTAGCAAATGAATATCACTATCATTCTTGAACCCCCATCTTCCATTCATATAACTACTACAAATTAACCTCTTCCAGAAGATTTGAATGATCAGGTTAACTAATCAATCTTTTAACTAGAATGAAAATTAGTGAATACTTTTGGACACCCCTGTGTCTAACCTAGTTAATATACGTACATTCAATACAGCGTGCCCCCATACGTAGACATCTTCCATATGCCTCCGTGGACGACTCACTGGAAAACTGATCCCCAGTGAGATATCTGTAAGTAAAGAATTATTTACTATCACAATAAAATACAATAATAATAATAAAAAAGAAACAAATTCCAAGTTATACAGTAGCATTAGTCTTAGAACCAATCACATATCTACCATAGTGTGCCAAAGTAAGCAGTCACAAAGGCATCACAACTAACACACTGTAGCAATCTGTCACAACTAACACACTGTGTAGCAATCTGTCACAACTAACACACTGTAGCAATCTGTCACAACTAACACACTGTGTAGTAATCTGTCACAACTAACACTGTGTAGCAATCTGTCACAACTAACACATCCAGCAAGAACACACTGCTATCACAACTAACACACTGTGTAGCAATCTGTAACAACTAACACACTGTAGCAATTTGTCACAACTAACACACTGTGTAGTAATCTGTCACAACTAACACTGTGTAGCAATCTGTAACAACTAACACACGGTGTAGCAATCTGTCACAACTAACACACTGTGTAGCAATCTGTCACAACTAACACACGGTGTAGTAATCTGTCACAACTAACACATCCAGCAAGAACACACTGTCATCACAACTAACGCACTGTGTAGCAATCTGTCACAACTAACACATCAAGCAAGAACACACTGCTATCACAACTAACACACCGTGTAGAAATCTGTCACAACTAACACATCCAGCAAGAACACACTGTTATCACAACTAACACACCGTGTAGAAATCTGTCACAACTAACACATCCAGCAAGAACACACTGTTATCACAACTAACACACCGTGTAGAAATCGGTCACAACTAACACATCAAGCAAGAACACACTGCTATCACAACTAACACACCGTGTAGAAATCTGTCACAACTAACACATCCAGCAAGAACCTATCACTATTAATATGCCTTTACACACAACTCTTAATCACACAAAGTTTTAGTTTTATATTTAACATTTTCATTACTATCATCATTGTTCCTCTTCTTAATAATCCACCCCAAGACAACAGCACATCAAAACTAATATAACAGTCTGCCTACGTGTTATGTGATGACGCTATCACTAATATAACAGTCTGCCTACGTGTTATGTGATGACGCTATCACTAATATAACTGTCGACCTACGTGTTATGTGATGACGCTATCCAGAACTGAGAGAGAGGCTTCGTCATGTCTTGATTGACCTTCTCATGATCTTCCTCCCATATCGTGTTCTTGTCTGAATACAAATAGTCCAGGAACTGGAACAGTGGGGACAAACACATCAGTATGTGGTAACTGAAACCTCTTAATGATTAACTAATGCACTTATTCAGATTCGTTAGTGTAATGTTTGTAATTTCATAAATCTCTGCACAAAGAATGAACAAGTATCACTGAACATCAATCTGTCAGTGTAACTTGTCACATTTTTGCAATATCCATGATCAAAGAGACAGTAAAACATAATCAAAAAAAGTGGTTAAACCCAAGTCAAAAATTCAAATCAACTAAATTATAAGATATTTTTAAGAAGGCAATATACAGTTTAATTTTTATTTCTTTTAACTTTTAAAATTCCATTCAAATCCGCTCTACCTTGTTATCTCCATTTCTAATAAATCAGACCTATTCTACATTTTGACCAATTTCAACATCAAATGATATCTGTACTTTTTATCCTATTCCAGCCTATCAAAAACTGTCAAATTATTTACCTCGTGATGTGTGAAGTGAGGCTTGACAGCACGTATGGGATCTGATGACTCCAGGATTTGGCGCATGAAAGACAGGACATTCTGCGAATCATTTCCTAAGGGATCCTATGAGAAATAGTAATAAAAATAATAAAGAATCAAGAAAAAATCTTCCTACAGATTACCGATAAAAAAAAAACTGTTTCCGTGTCCAGCTTCACCGAGGATTTAGGTCTTGAAAAACCATGACTTCATTCTATGATTTTTTAATATTAATAAAATACAATGCTTGAAAAGTGAAAACCTTTTCTGATATTTTTACATAATAGGGATATATATGAAATCACCATTTTCTGCATTTCACATTAGAATGTTACCTTTAATGTTAAAACCCTTAAAGTCAGTTTAAAATTTTTCAAACAATAATATTAACAAATACATTTCTTGATTTCATTTTTAAAAAACATACTTTTTGTTCAACTATCAAAAACTGTTCAAATTCTTCTGCTGTCAGCTTGTCTCTAAAATAAATAAATTTAAAAAAAATAAATACATAAATGGTCTAAAGTGGAAATTGTAATGATATTTTACTTGCATAAGAATATTTTCACTACTACAGTATAAGAAACATAATCATACAAATCTACATTATTTGAAAATGGAAAGGATGTTTATTTCAGGCAATTCAGATCTAAATTCTTGGAGATATATTTCTATGTTTATATCTGACTATGAAAATTGAAAGAAAGTTTTTCTGCATACCCATCTCTTGAATACATTGGGAAATACTCTGTAAATATCTGTAAACATAAGAAAACATGGAGTCATTATTATATCCTGTGGAAGACATGTCTGACACCTGAGTTAACAGAGCTGGTAATGATCTTTTGTCTAAAATATGTACAAAATATCCAGTCTTTCTTACTTTGATTGAATTCTCTCTCTTAAACATGACATGCACACAAACACACACACACACAAGAGAGAGAGAGAGAGAGAGAGAGAGAGAGAGAGAGAGAGAGAGAGAGAGAGTTTTTGCCATATAATGGCTAAATAGAAGTGAAATATCTAAACAAATAAAAAATAAATAAATAAATAAACAAATGAGCCAAGAAATAAAAATAATGCTAGCATAGGGACAGAGTTACAATATGTATAACATGTAAACATAAATGCCTTTCACTTAACATATGCTGTTTAGGCTGAAAAGGGAGACAACAGAAAAAATTCCCTGAAATCATAACTTCCTCAAAAAAGGAAACTGAAACAAGAGCCATGTAAAGAACATGACTAAAATGCATTAAACTATCGGTTTACAGTCGCGTTTTATGTCAAATTTTACTTTTCATGTGCCACTATTCACCAGTAGAGGCCAATTAGGCAAATTATGAGTAAATGTGGCACCTGCATTTTCTGAGTGATCAGAAAGAGTATAGTAGCTTCTTCTATTTCCAATATCAATAATTTCTGGTTGCAGACATCCATTGCAATCAAACAAAGGTACTAAACATTAAAGAAATAATGTGAATCATATCTGTTTAGCCAAGTATTTTTGTATGGGAGTGCATCAGTGCATAAATGCACGTGTGTTTTTTTTAAAATTCATTCCTTCTTTCAAAACCTTAGATTACTTCAGTTTAGGAAACACTTCTGTCACAGTGTTGTAAATTAAAATAACTACTGGTCTACAATAACAGCCATTTCTATCTTGTTATAAAAAGGGCAGAATAATTTCCAATTTGATCACTAATTATTTACCTTGCCTCAAAAAAACAGACAAATTTCCATCTAACACTTCAGACAAGAAAACAGGCCTGAGGTCATCAAAAATCAATGCACAATAGGACAATGAAAGCTCAATAGTTCATTTGGGGTAATGATAACTATTTGTCTCATCTGTCAGAAATGAAAGCAATTTAAAGCTTTCTAGTCTAACTAGATTGTCATTTTTTTCTGCTTGCTTTTAACATTCATTTCAGCATAGAATGTATTTGTTCTTTTGATTTAGATCAGCCAATAATAATCAAGTCTTCTGTTAACTTTATATATACATATATATATCCACAAACATTCATTTTTTGGTCATTTTAAACAATTCTACTTTATTTTAATCTTTTAGACAAAAAAGGGTGTTTTTTATCTTTCAGTGTGTATACCATACTTTGGCAAACAAATTCATGACGGCATGGTTTCATAAACACACATAAAACGGAAATAAACTAGACCTCAAGGACGACACACATATTACAGGAATAAATTGACAGAAACAGATTCAATGACATCCCAGGTAAGATGGATGCTTTGTAAAAAAAAAAAAAATGCAATTTTCTCCTCCAACAAAAGAAATAGCTTCTCTCTCTCTCTATTTTCATCTCTCACCCTCTAAAAAGGAAAAAAAGTGACAGCCAGTTTTTGAGCTGAATACTTACACTATGTACATGGATGAGGTTGTGGTATACTTACACTATGTACATGGATGAGGTTGTGGTATACTTACACTATGTACATGGATGAGGTTGTGGTATACTTACACTATGTACATGGATGAGGTTGTGGTATACTTACACTATGTACATGGATGAGGTTGTGGTATACTTACACTATGTACATGGATGAGGTTGTGGTATACTTACACTATGTACATGGATGAGGTTGTGGTATACTTACACTATGTACATGGATGAGGTTGTGGTATACTTACACTATGTACATGGATGAGGTTGTGGTATACTTACACTATGTACATGGATGAGGTTGTGGTATACTTACACTATGTACATGGATGAGGTTGTGGTATACTTACACTATGTACATGGATGAGGTTGTGGTACAGCATGGAAAATTGCTCAAATCCTATTTCCTTCAGCTGCGGCTCTATCATCTGACAAACAAGAAACAATTTGAATTATGAACATGAAAGACTTTTTTTTTCAAACCATGGCTGCATCACATACAGACACTAATTGGTTACTGACATTTGTGTCAAATCACACTATTTATTTGAAAACATAAACCGATGTTTATGCTAGAATCCATTTTTTATCCATTATAATTATATTGATGTTCAAGACCATGATCACAAAATGATATAACTGGTATATTCTTTGGCTCTTTTACATAGAATAAAAACCATAAATCAATAATTACATATATATTTAATAAGTCTTATAAGTCACTATTACTATTATTACAGACATTTTTATTATTTTTATTATCTATTATTGTTAATATGGGCTGTAATGACCAGTACTGTGGTGTCAATGTACTGCAGAATCCATCCTGTTTTTCCCAAGAACAGTGTTCTGCAGAATTTCTCAATTCACACCAATTACTGTACCAATCAGCTTATTCCCGCCCAGCAGTGGTAATTCCAAACTGTTAATCTGCTCCAGTGACCGTTCACTGATTCCACGTCTAATTAATAACTGCCCATGTCATCAACTCCAGTTAAGCTGCATTTTATACAAGATATTGAACTGTATTGTTTGTGTGTGTGTGTGTGTTTAGGGAATATATAGAGCAAGGAAGAATAACTTTATACATACATTGGACACTTTTTTAAAAACCATCCCTGAGATCAATAAATAAAACACATCGCAATTCAGTTTTCATAATAGAGTGTCAAAATGACTTTCAATTAGCAGCACTTCCACATAAATGGCATCTTTAATCCCTACTGACATCTGTCATGAAATGCTATCCTCAGTTCTAATTTCCTTCACTAATTGGTTACTCCATAGCATGCAATGTAAGCAACTAAAAAAATTTAAATTCACTGCACCTGACAGCAGTACCATGTCAGCAGCTATTTTGAGGCAATTAACTAGTAAATAAAGCATTAAACAGGTAAAAACAAAGGTACTAATTTCTCTCAGACTTATAGAAAATTTGTTCTTTCGACTAGTCAATATTACTTCGGATTTGCAGTTTTGTGAGATTTAGTGGTACAACAGACAAGTGCACTGAAAAGTTTAGGTGCAAACTGGTTTTTATATTGATCACCACCAATCCTCAGCAGAATAAATCTCTCAGATAATCCATTTCTTCTGACCCTTTCTCTTCCCACAATACCACTTTTGAAATGCTGGTATTTCTGAGAAATTATGATTAATTTGATAAATGAGTTTTCCAAGTAATAATTCATACGTTTTTTGTTTATCAATATAACTAGCAATGTTGTACTTTACACAATGAATGGCTTTACTAGCAGACATGCCAGCTGCTCTCATTTCAGAGGTAGAACACTTCTACAACCGAGATATGAACATTTAGGGTGTATTCCCAGACATTTAGATCGATCTATCCCTGTGGGGAGTCTCACTAGATTACTGTCAGATAATCCGGCTTAAATGTCCCTTCCGCCTTCAACAAGCTGTAAGGGGGTAATTAACTTTCGTGCCCGCTGACAGCTAATTGGCGTGAACCCCCAGGGAGTTAGGTCGATCTAGTTTGGATCGATCTAATCTCTGGGAATGGGGTCTTAGAAACACCTCTTTCAAGGGTCTCTTCCACAAAATGAGGTCTAAAGACTTAGACTATATTAACAAGAATAATAATTATCATATCTGTATATATATATACTTATTTTTGCATTTGCAACTCTGAGGTTGAAATTTTGTAATTATTGCATATCACTGTACCCGCGAAATGGATTTTGTAAATACAGTGCACATCAAGCCAAAATAAATAATAACTAGAAGATCAGAGAGGCGATACCGCCTCCGAATATTGTACCACCAGCTGGAGCAAGCGCATTCGTATAGACCCCCACATACACAAAGTAAGGGACACAGCCACCAGTCTTGTGCTTGACAAGTTGTAAAAATGCAATCAACAACAATTTTCAAAACATTCAAAAAATATATATAACTTAAAATGGTACAATCAAAGTGAATTCATCGTAAGGTAGGTCAAAGGTCAATTTCAAGGTCACAGTAAATTGCCAGAATATGATTTCCTATTCAAGTTTAATAGTAACTATGGACCTATCTCTGCCAGTTTTGGAGATAAAAGGGAAGCAAAATTCGCAAAGTTCAGTTCATGGTGAAAAGTAGGCCAAAGGTCAATTTAAAGGTCACATTTAGATTGCCAGTATATGACTTCCTATTCAACTTCAATAATAACTATGGACCTATCTCTGCCAGTTTTGGAGATAAAAGGGAAGCAAAATTTGCAAAGTTCAGTTCATGGTGAAAAGTAGGTCAAAGGTCAATTTCAAGGTCACATTTAGATTGCCAGTATATGACTTCCTATTCAACTTCAATAGTAACTATGGACCTATCTCTGCCAGTTTTGGAGATATAAGGGAAGCAAAATTTGCAAAGTTCAGTTCATGGTGAAAAGTAGGTCAAAGGTCAATTTTAAGGTCACATTTAGATTGCCAGTATATGACTTCCTATTCAAGTTCAATAGTAACTATGGACCTATCTCTGCCAGTTTTGGAGATAAAAGGGAAGCAAAATTTGCAAAGTTCAGTTCATGGTGAAAAGTAGGTCAAAGGTCAATTTTAAGGTCACATTTAGATTGCCAGTATATGACTTCCTATTCAAGTTCAATAGTAACTATGGACCTATCTCTGCCAGTTTTGGAGATAAAAGGGAAGCAAAATTTGCAAAGTTCAGTTCATGGTGAAAAGTAGGTCAAAGGTCAATTTTAAGGTCACATTTAGATTGCCAGTATATGACTTCCTATTCAACTTCAATAGTAACTATGGACCTATCTCTGCCAGTTTTGGAGATAAAAGGGAAGCAAAATTTGCAAAGTTCAGTTCATGGTGAAAAGTAGGTCAAAGGTCAATTTTAAGGTCACATTTAGATTGCCAGTATATGACTTCCTATTCAAGTTCAATAGTAACTATGGACCTATCTCTGCCAGTTTTGGAGATAAAAGGGAAGCAAAATTTGCAAAGTTCAGTTCATGGTGAAAAGTAGGTCAAAGGTCAATTTTAAGGTCACATTTAGATTGCCAGTATATGACTTCCTATTCAACTTCAATAGTAACTATGGACCTATCTCTGCCAGTTTTGGAGATATAAGGGACTAAATGTTATAATTTCGGAGTTACCTTAATGTGCCATAAATTTCCTACAGAAAAAATTAATTAAAATAAAGAAAAGGTCATTTTGGTCAAAATTCTTGAAATGGGAGGTGCTCTGAAGTTCCAGAAGTTCAAATTTGATGAAATAATGTCATTTTTGACCACAAGTTGTCTGCTTTGCCAAGCCTTATATTTTTTTTTCTGGAGTTCAAAATTTATTATTCATTACCGTACTGCACATTTTGCTTTCACCACCAATATGTACTTTTTGATACAGCGTAACTCGAAAACCGTATGGAATACAAAAAAACGGAGACCACCTCCAGTGTTGGGCTTTACATGCTCTACAAAATGCAAAAAAGAATGGGTCTCTAGCGTAAACGGTTCCCGAATTAGAGACAGTTTTCAGTTTCAGTATCTTATGGCCGCTACTCCTGTGAAAATGCACCGATTGACCCCAAATTCACGGAGATGAAAGATGACCTGAAGGGTAACAACTTCCAATAATATTATTGATTAAGTCTGTGTGGTGTCTAAATAACAGGGCAAATAATTTTTTTTTCGTAAAAAAATTAATTTTTTTGAAAATTTTGGCCCGTTTGACCTTGAAATAAAGGTCAAAGGTCAAATCCAAGGGCATATTTGAAATCTACACATATGACTTTTGGAAAGCCGTCTGTAGAAATTTTTCCCATAATTCCATCCGTAGGGTAGATAATTAGCATTTAATTTTGCCATTTTTAGACAAGGGTGCATTGCAATGAGTGCCACACCTAGACCCCAATACCGACAAAGCCCAAATTTTACGTGGAACGAGTTGAGATTATAGGTGACCTAAATCCAAGAGATGGTTACGGGGGCCCTTACCGTCTAGGAGGAGAAGCGGTAACGGTAGCCATCCGGCGGAGCCGCACGAGCTCGCGGAGCCGGCGGAACGATCTGGACGGGACTAAAACCATGTGTACCGCCAGCGCTAACGCTGGTGGTACAATAATGCCGAGTTAATCAGAGCTTTAAAAGTCTGAGCCAATGTCTTTCTTTAAATCCTTTTCACTGTTTAATAAATTTATTACTTTTAAATTCTATTTACTGATTTATTTACTTATTGGTGAAATAGGCCGTTCATCTTCTTTATTTTTTCACTTCCACTTAAGAAATCATCTTCCTACCCCTCATTACACACAAGATCAGACACAAACAGATTTACTTAATCTACTTATATGTTCTGGAATATCTTACCTGATATTGTTCCCGTAGCTTTGTGTTAGATATTTTATAATTTACTCTGGGTAGCCATGACTTGATATCCTTTACAGACACCCTAGAAAAAAACCAATAAATATATAAATTATATATCTTTTTTGGGAAAAAATTACAACAGAAAAATACAGAAAAGGAAGTGAGGGATAGTGGCTTGCCAAAATATCTGTATTATGGTTTTGAAAAATACCACAGACGTCTGATAATTGAGCAGGGTGTCAGCTCTTCTAGGAATCATCAAGTTGAGATCAGTTGTTTGTGCATTAAGTCAGGGTTATCGGAAACTAAAGCATCCATGGCCTTCTTGGAAATATCAATTTCACTGCCAGAAGACATGTACACATTATAAAATAAACTTAACTTCTAAGAGGAAATTACAAAATAAAATGAACTTAGAAAGGACTGTGTCAATACCACCTTTTTTTTTTTACTTTAAATATTTTGAATTAACTCCAGCTTGATTCACGTCAATGTTTGACAACAATTTTTTTTTTGAAAACAACCATTTGACTTAATTACACTTGTTGCATTTTTTTCTGGCAAGATCTGAGCTCAAAATGGCACATTTTATTTCTGATACAGAGAGAGTACATGGAATTTCTGTGCAAGTTTCTCATTTTGCTAACAGACTGCTCAAAATTGGCATTTTTACCCCAAGTGACAATGAAAGGCATGCACGAAATCGTTCCCTTATCAGTATCAGCTAACCAAATGAAGCTGTCCCGAAAGACAATGTACCTCTTGAATATAATGAAATGATTTACAGATCACAGCAGACCTTACCTAAACCCTCTCCACTAGACTATATGGGACAAGTCCTAATAGGATTTTTTTCAAAACTAATTATCTTGGTAAAATAGGCTTTTTCATCATCTCTCGTTTAATGATGATAAAAAAATCATTTCATATCAAAGTTCTTCATCAAAAGGATCTTAATGCCATGCCTCGTAGATACAAAAATGCTTAGTCTTTTTAGTTTTCAGAGGTCGTAAGTACTATAAAAATACTTTGCATGTATTACAGAGTGCTCACTGCAGAGTTGGTGTGGTGAAAGTATATTGGCAGTAAGCAAGATGAGGTGTCAGAAAAACATCCCCACAGGGGTGTATCCAGGATTACATACAGGACCAGGGAGGTTTAATCAAAAACTCCACCTATATTGTCTAGTTTGGACCCAATATAATTTGGAACAAGTCCCAGTTCAAATAAAAATCAGCAATTTGGGTGAAATGGTACCTCTCTGCTATCACCCTACTGCTGTACACACAGAACCCTTCAGCACTTATTTCACAATCAAGACATCTACACCACATCAACCTGACTGTAACATAACAGAAGTTGGACCAATATTCGGTCCAAAGATTTCCTTGTCTTAACACGCTGCCAGAAATCACACAGGCCACACAGAGTGTTGCATTAGCCACAATCCTTTCCATCTCAAGTCCAATGAGTGGAAAATCAACACAATTGTTCACAACTGTCACAGAGAGATGGCAGAGTGTGATTTATCGCTATTTACCATGATGACTTTGTTCTGAATGGAAAAAAGCACTCAAACAAGTTAAATACTACAATAGTAAATGTCCTGGGTTTTTGTTTTTAATCTCTTATTGACTACTGAGAGGCATCACATTCAATGCCAGAGTGCCAGATAATAGTTTTGTTTCCTTACAACTGCCTATTTATGTTTATTTATAAGTTAAACTTTCTATTAGTAAACAAGTATATTTCTAAACGTAACTCTGAATTGGAATTACAAATCTAATGCCAGTCCAACCTGGCTGTACAATGATTTCAAGCCAGCATTTATATTCTATGACTTTTAATTTTTTCCTTTTCTTCAATAAAAGTCTCAGGCTTGCCAGGTTACTTACATGTGGTTTCGGTTTTCTAATGTGTAAAATTCTTTGCGCAGCCACCTAGAAGAATAAAGAAAAACAACTAATTTTAATTAACCACATAGAAATATTTCTTGGAATTCTAGGTGTGAGGGCTACAGCAAAATTATCTTGATTTAATTGTCCTGTGTAAGACCCACACCCTTACCTTTCAACCTGTAGTGGGTAGGGCCCTGACTGTGTGTACTGAGTGAGGTAATCACTATACCCCCACCCTTACCTTTCAACCTGTAGTGGGTAGGGCCCTGACTGTGTGTACTGACTGAGGTAATCACTATACCCCCACCCTTACCTTTCAACCTGTAGTGGGTAGGGCCCTGACTGTGTGTACTGACTGAGGTAATCACTATACCCCCACCCTTACCTTTCAACCTGTAGTGGGTAGGGCCCTGACTGTGTGTACTGACTGAGGTAATCACTATACCCCCACCCTTACCTTTCAACCTGTAGTGGGTAGGGCCCTGACTGTGTATCTTCACTGAGGTATCGGAGGCCGTCCACCATCATACGGTACTCCTCCTGTGTGCTGGCTGGAAAAAAAAGAAAAGAACATATCAATGTGCATTCATGAAACCCCAGCTTGAAATATTTTAGGTGAAATTGAATTTTTATACACACATGTCAAAGGTCTTTCATTTTTGTAATCAAACAAATATCTTCAAGGGAACAACTGTTTATAGAAATTGTGTTCAATGAAAAAAAAAAAAAAAAAAAGAAAATGAAAATAGATAATTTTAAAACTGCTAAATAAATCAAAACAAGACTAGAAATCAAAAGTACTTATTTTTACTTGAGATATTCTCAAACTCACTCATTTCTCCAAGCAGATGTTTCTATACTCGTTTTTGACATTTCGTCAATTTTTTTTACTCAAAAGCCAGCCTGCGATCCCTACAGTGCAATACTCACCAACCAAGGACAGCGTCTTCAGGCGGAACTCCATGCCATACAGGATAACAAATGACCTCTCCTTGTCCATCTTCTTGCCCTCCTCTGGCCATTTCTCAAAGTCTTTCGAGTTCTTCCCTGGACGAATCTCCTTAACTTCGCGCAGATCAACTACAATTTGAAATTGGTCGTTATCAGTTATATAAAGTGGTATGCAAATGGTTGTGTGGAATGGGACGTGAAGCAAGGAATAAAAGAGTTTCTCTTTAATTCTTTTGTAATTTCTGATCTTGAAATTCTACTTTTGTGCTCAGATCCATCTGTCTACCTGTATCAGTTTAGTGATAAGAAACAACTTGTTCTGGAGTCTTGCAGATACTTACCAGGTAAAGATTGGCAGGTGCAATATAAACTTGTTAATCCTTAGAAAGCACACTGTATCTATAACAGATGGCTAATCCAAATATTTGAATGTCAAAATATCTAAATCTTGATAAAGTTGAGGAGTTTTGTTGGTGCCTTACCAACAGATTTTGGTTATGCATTTAATGTGTAAAGAGAGAAAGAGAGAGAGAGAGAGAGAGAGAAAGGAGAGAGAGATGGCAGTAACTAGCAATGTCCCAAATCAAGTCCAAATTAAAGTACAAACAAATCACTCAAAATAGTCATCTATCGGATTCTATTCGGCTGAGGAACACAAAACCTGACTTAATGCCAAACCTAAGACAAAAAAAATCCATTTCTGAACCCTCTAAATGCACCAAAGTCTTGGAGCACTGCACATTCTCCTTCTAAAAACCTCCCAAGATTAGACGTAATTGAAGTGTCTGCCTGCAATATCTGACATCACATCCTTTTCATGGTACCGTAACTACTGTTAAGTATCAAAAGGCCAGTGCACTCGGTAGGATTTTTCTAAGGGAGTACCGTACCCCTTGCCCAAAAAAAAGAAGGGGTAATTTTCAAAATGAAGGGGTAAAATTTAAAAATGCTCATCAAGGTGTAATTTTGTGTATTAATAATCATGCAATCACACAGTTCACTTTCATAACAATAACCCACTATCCTTTTATCCAAAATCTTTTATTATTGCAATTTAACAAAAAGAAAACAAAAACAAAATGGACAGGTCACGCATAGGTCACGAAATTGTAAATGTATTTTAATTAAAAAAACAAACAGGTAGTTACTATGTCACCTTATAGTGTTGTTTCTTTGGCTTTTTCTCCAAAAATCAGTGGGGGAGGGGTGAAAATATAACATGTAATTTATTAGAGATTTTACATTGCTTTTAAATTACCACAGAAACAATCAAAATACAACAAGTACGACTGCACTTCATAGCCAAAAATTTACAATCTATTCTTGACTGAGATTTAAAAATGCTCCTGGCCTAACTGCTTCCTTAGTAAAGTTTTTAAAAAAAATAGGTCAAACAAGCGCTCTGTAATAGTTGGGAGAGGGAGAGATAGAGAACGGCGCCAAAATGTCTGGACACTGACAAGTAGTCACCCAGTATCCGTCTCTGTCAAACAAGCATTTTTTAGTATACTATTTGAGAAGGGACACAAAATTTACATATTTAGCCATTTTAATCAATCAAAATGTTCATACTTCTTACTCTTCCTAGTGTTTCTCCCTAAAATTGATGCCGACAAAAAGTAGGTCAAGTCGGGAACATTAGGCACCCGTCGTTTTTAAGTTTTACTAAATTGTTTATAAAAATTAAACCTTTGCTTTCAATTTGTAAATAATTACTAGAAATATTATTTCACAGTTTGTTGAAAGATAATTTTTATTTATGTTTGTTAGCGCAGCACTTCAAGTTCAACTGTTTTCTAAGCTGGCCAAATCTGGAGCTAGCCGGTTGCTGCAAACCACTTTGTTTCCAACCGGCAAATGACTGCCAATAATAAACGATCTATTTTGTCTGTGATAATAAATTTTACACTTCAAATTTTCCGGGCAAGTGAACAGCCGAAAGTCACTTGCGTTTCCGGGCAACTACCAGCTAAATTTTAGTTGCCCGGCTGATAAAACTAGTTGCGAAACGCAACCATCGCAAGTAGGTATGTCGGACTCTGAAATCTATAGTAAATAACTTTGCCTACCTTGCATGACAAAACCTTTTAATTGACTGTTGTTTTTTTCCTTTGCTTTTCCTTTTTCTCGTCATTTTGTCATCACTGGTAATCAGCAGAGCTGGAAATTCCCGGTCGCCCGCTCGTCAAATGCGACTAAAAATTTATTCTGACGACTAAAACTACAAAAGTCACAAGGGTTACTGGCCTAAAGTATTTGGTCTGGGCGAGTGATTTAAATTGGTCCTAAACGTATGGTTGCTCAATTAAAATGTTGAACAATTATGTGAATAAAAAACGATCATTTCATCGTTGTTCATACCACGTGCTTTGACCTTAAACTTGCATATTATGACCAATCAGAGAAGATTACCTCATCCTCTGCGGGTCAGTGAAAGAAGAAGCATGTTTTAGTCGGGTAATTCAAATATCTTAAGAAAAAAATGAGACACTTGGGAATCAATTATGACATTTTCAACACGAGTCTGACCGTCAACAGTCAACGGACTGGTCAACTTCGCCGATCTTCAAAGCCAAAGGTGTGCGTATTCGTACGCGCTGGGGCTCCAGCCAATGCGTAAAAACAGCAAAACAACGCGTAATTACGCACTCTCATACGCTAACGAGTTTACTGAAAAGGCCCTCACTTTTTCTGTTATATAACTTTTTTTTTTCCAGATTTCTCTTTTTTGGCAATGACAACAATTTGATTTTTGACACCAATCCAACCACCTTTAAATATACATCCAAATGTCATAAGTTATGGATCAACATTTTCAAATATTACTTATACAACATTTTTAAGGGGATGGGGGGAATTATTCATTCACGCTGAGATTGAGAGGATAATTTACATCCTGGAACTCTGTTTTCTTGGAATCATTGTTATCTACAAGTATAATTCTCTTATAGTTTGTAAACAACCTGTAGTAGGTTTATTACTCTACTTATCTATTACTTCTATATATTCTGAAAATCTCCATTTGTATTGTAATTGATCACCATTTTTGTGTTGCATTTACTTACAAAAAATACATAAAAAGATACATCTCAAATGTCTATTCTAATGCAGACTGATGATCAATTTTCATCAAAAAGAGAAAATTCTTGAATTATAATTTCATGTTATGTATTTATTTGTCATTATAAATTGCGTCTAACACAAAATTCCCTACTGTGGCCAATCACCCAATTTCTCACCAAGGCAAAGAAAACTTGTCTGAATAAAACTCAGTATTTGTATTTTCTTTGACAATCAGAGCCGCTCTGGTTGCATAGTCAGAAACTTTAAATTCAAACAAAACTACAAGTGGTGATTTTTGTTCATTCAACAGAAAAACACCCAGTTTATTTTTTCTTCTTTTGTAAAATTTTATCAAATAATAAAATAAAAAATAATCTTAAAATCAAATTTGATTTAATTTTATACAAATCATTATGGGCATATCAGGATTTATAGCACAAAAACTAGTCTGAAATTCTTAAGCCCAAAAGTTTTCCCCACTTTGAAATGAGATAAATCTTACAGATATTTATCATTCATACATAATCCAATAGAATGATATACAGTAACAGTGACTTTTTTTAAATAACAGGAGTGGTGTTGCTGATATTTAGAAGTCCGCCTTTTTTATTTAAGCAAACTACTACTATATGGATTTTTTACTTAAAGTAGATTTGTCATCAATCTTTTTTTTTTAATTTTTAGACCAATTGTGAAACTAAAATTCTTTGCAAAACTCCCCCCCCCCCCAAAAAAAAAAAAAAAAAAATACAATTTTGGACACTTCAGAGCCTCTCATAAACTGCACTAATTTCTTGAACTTAAAACACCAGCTATTCAGAACCCTTTCAGTGCTTGTTTCATATCAAAGCTGACCTTTTGGTACAAAGACCTCACATAAATGCCAGCCTCTTGGAGCCTCTCAGAAAAATTATATCGAAGCATAAATTTCTTATCAGTTTTTCACCCATTACAGAAGTACCTCAAAGTTTCCACTTAATATTGGACTCATTAACAGATACCATATTCACTAATTTCTGAGAGCGAATGCACATTTATCCGCTATCTAAATAAGAAGAAAGTAACATTGAAACAATATTTTGAATTCAGAGGAATTAAAATAACATTGGTGTCATTCGGTTTGTTTATTTGCCTTGACTTCTCACTCTTGGAAATTGCATGTACTTTTACACGTCTGTGATTAATTTTCTTTTCCCAACATTTCAAGTCTTGTTCAGTCTACCACCTGAAAAACACCCACTGGTATATGATGTCAGACTTATTCATCTTAATTTATCTTTATAAAAAGCCCCACTTAGAGTCTCTTAAAGACAGTTATTATATTCTTTTCATGTCTAGGTAAAAGTCATGATCCGTGAGGTAGAAAAGTGAAGAGGCAAGCTGTGAGCTCCTCAGAAACTATCACAAATCTTGTCTTTATCTGCCTGATCTCAGGTACCTAACCAGCAAGTGCCTGGAGTTTCCCCGAAATATCCTAGAGATCAGATCCTCCTTGTTCTCAGTGAAAGTTTTTTTGAAAAAATGGAATATTATCAATGGTTTTTTTAACTTTTAGATGTGGTATTCCTGTTTGGTTATGGAAAAATGCTGATTTTTTATGGTGATCATTGCACGACTTTTATAAATTACAATTACAATCTTAATTGCGTGGTAAGACATCTCTTTCTTGAATGGATACCCCAGACATAGAATTCATGCCCACAAATGCATCAAACCCTTGGCAAGCATACTGAACAAATAGTGGACTCCTGTCGTGCATATAATTACTACTGTAACAGTACACTAAGCTGGACAGGCCAACTTTATTATGCTCAGTTCACCACATACAAACACAATTACTCTTATTAATTTCTACAAAATTTTAGCCTGGAATTTGTCAAAACTTTTAGACCAAAAATATATACCCCATTCACACTACCACTTTTAACCGCGGTCAAGGCCTGACCTCGGTCCTATCGCGGTTAACTTTTCTAATGTGAACAGACGATGTAGCCATGACCGCGGTCAAAATAAACCCAGATCGGGAGGTGGGTATAATCGGAGTAAACTCCTGACCGCGGTCAAGACGGGATGTCTACATATGAAGTGCACGCGCACAAGTGTATCGTCATTTGAGCTCCTGCTATGTTGCACAGATTCTAGTAAGAGCGCATGCTTGACAGGAAATAGGCTTGCTAAGATTCTACCGCTACTGATTGCTGCCGGTGTCAGTGTGAACGGGGTTTGGACGCGGTTTGGTTGACCGCGGTTTAATCGGAGTAAACTCGACCGCGGTAAAAGTTCTAATGTGAATGGCCTAATAGATTGAAACTATTCAATATCAATCTTTAACAGTACACTTACAAGTAAAAAGAAAGTAAATATTGGTCTGGAACATTAGACACGTCTTTTTTTTTTTCAAAACAGGTAAAATAAATATACAACATTGATATATCTTAGGTCAAAGTCAACTAAAATTTAGGAGGTAAAGTTAAGACATATTTTTGGGTAAACTTACATTTTGTGTGTGTGTGTGTGTGTGTGTGTGTGTGCACGCGCATGCGTGCGTGTGTGTGTAACAGGCCCCAATAGCACGAAGGTGGGAGTTTTGACCAGGAAAATAAGTACACAATCACTGTAATCTTTTTTTTTATCTTCAGGTTTCTGAGCCAACTGTATTAACACCGTGTTTTAAAAGCGCTGGCACTTGATTTGAAAAACATTTACTCAGCATGTATTTGCACTGAGCCCCAGCTTAGTGTGAATACCAAAGTTCAGACAAATATATCTTTGGACTGGGAATCAAGTATATATCACACATCATGGCCAGATTTCATATTACAATATTTATTATTCTTAATACATTTCACCTGGCAGTCAGGTTGCCAACTCCATTCATAATTTATATGTCATATCATCAATTCCCACCAATTTCAGGTGTACATCACCCCATATCTATATGCCCACTGAGCACTGTAACTGTGGCTCTATAGACAGGTAGGGTGATAACATCATTTGGCCCAACTTTCGGTCCATATCAATTTTTGTATAAACACACCTCTGCATGCTGGGACTGTATCAAGAACTGAGCTGAGAAATGGGGGGAAAAGGCAGCTACTTTTTACTAAATCTTGTCCTACATTGTGATATTCAATCACACAGCCTCCCCAACTAGTGTGAAGTCCTATATATACAGAAAATGCGTGTAAATGTGCGTGCTTGCAATTGCAAGTGTTTGTTTTCTCTCCTCCTATATATTAACCAATCTGAAACTATTATGTTGTCCCTTAATTCTAGATTTAATAAACCATGGGACTCCCATTCACTCCTACTAGTGCAGGTTTGAGTGTTTTTCACACCACCTCACCATAAAATAGACCTTCAAAATGTGTGGACCACACTTTCTCTCTCTCACTCAAATAAAAAAACATATTTTCACAGGTTTTGCCATTTAACTGAGCATTTCTATAAATATGTCACTGAGTGCCTAACATTATTTCCAAGATCCAGTCGGAGTGTGGAGTGCTTCACATAACACGACTGAAAAGAAAGGGCAATGCAAGCTGTGATCGTATGTGACTCTGAAGTTCTCTTTTTTCTCATTCTTTTGTGGTTATGCAGGCTTTTATATACTTTCAGAATAAATAAAAATTAAACCACCGACTGAAGCTGTGTGTGTGTGTGTGTGTGTGTGTGTGTGTGAGAGAGAGAGAGAGAGAGAGACTTCCTAGCATGGCAACCTGTAACAGTAATCCTGCATATCAGAATAACAGAGATTACGTCTCAACAAAGAGCCTGCTCGGTGTCTGAAGAGCTGAACACACATGCACCCACTCAATACTGCATATTTATATAGAACTCTGCCAAGTGAACTGAAGAAAACTGCTCTATAAGACATATAATACATCTAAATCCATTGGAAGTTTCTGTTTTAAAACACAAAAAGACTCTTTATAATTCCAAACAAAACAAGTAGATTGCTAATTTGGAGAAAGTTTTGGGGGAAATAGCACTTAAATCACCAAACTTGCCTTGTGATAAAAAAAAAACATTGCCATCCATGTGCCACAGAAAAAAAGCCCTTTTCTAATCTACTTTTTTCTATTTTCTATCCCTAACTGACCTTAATATAACTCTAAAACCAATCTAACATGATCATACACAATCAAACAGCCCTCCAGTGCTGTATAGCCTAATGTACATCAGGCAACAATCAATATCATGCAGATTTAGAAAATCAGCAGGTGCTTCGTGGCAGTGTTGCTGACTAACATGAAAGTAAACGCATTAAAAAAATGCTATGTAACCTAAGAGTTAAGTCATCAAGATCACTTCTCATTGCAAAGTAATGCTCTGTGCTAGTACAATAAAATAGGGAATGAAATAAAAAAAATTTAGGTGCTCTGAGAAACAATCAAGGTAATTCTTTTGAAGACTGAATTCTGAAAAAACAAAATATCTGGTTTTGTAGTCAGTGACTTGGTCCTTTATGTAGCTGCCATATATCATATGTACAGATATCCTAAAATTTAGGTGGCATCAGTGATAACCATTTCAGTATTTATCAGTCTGTTGACAATGCATCACTCCTCTCATCAAATAAACAATACTGAATACCTCCTAACTTAACCCTGGAAAAAATAATACAACAAAATGCAAATACAGGGATGGTGCTGTCGAGTGTCCCTGGTTAAACGACTAGGACGGTTGAGAATTTTTAATGTCTTCATCCCAATTTGCCAAATAAGTACTGGATGCGTTCAGTTCTCTTAAAACTGGGCGGCGTCCATTCTGCATCCTTTGTGCTACCATATGTAACTGGTACTGTGAGATGAAGTTTTTTTTTCTTTTTTCAACTCTCAAACTGGGCCATACTACAGGACACAGAAAGGACGCCATCCAGTGTAAAGGGGGCTTTACTAATGATCTGAACAGTGCCCAGCCAATCACCTGTGAACTCCTTCCTGTTCACAGATCCAAAGTTGACAGGTCGCTGAACAGTGCAGTAGTTGACAGGGTTAAATAGATAAAGACAAGAAATAAACTGTGAGCACCATGGACACTGTTTTTATTTTTCGTTTGTTTATTAAGAACATCAGACCATGAACCCAACCTTTACCTTTGCTTTAGTTAATCTTCACAGTATATTCCCAAACCCAAGAATTCCACCGACATTTCTCCCATAGTGTGTCCCACTTAAGTGCCGTGATAATCGGAAGGGGCTTAAAACATATAATGCCGTACAGATGTCAGCACATGGAGTGGTAGTAACAGTACTTAATGGCATCAATGGAAAGACCCCGGTTTCAATATCATAATCATAATAATCATGACAGACGCAAGTGACAGCGACAGCGAATACTTACAAGTTTGTTCTGGCCTGGCGTTCTGTGCTCGAACACAGACCAACTCTCTGGTCTCCAACTTTACTTGAAAAGTCCGCCTTTCGGGTTTCTTCTTCGGATAGAATTTGGTCAACACTAATCCCCTTTCCAGCGTTTTCAACGTTGTCATCATAGTCCGCTCATAGAGCTGGGAGCCCCCGCTTCTGGGCGCCGCCATCTTGAATTCTTCTCTAGGTCTTCCCCTATGCGGGACCTTCGCTCTTTGTCGACTGGTGGCAACCGAGTGTGTTTTGAATACGTTTACATTCCTTGAGATTACACCTGGAAACAGTTTACAACTTTACTCATTTCCTAACTTGTTCTAACATGCAATATCAGTTGGGAAACGGAGAGCAACACTTTAATCTGTGTGGTTACAAGAGACGAGATGTCAGGTTCAAAAGTGATTAGTTTTCATCTATAAAGGAGTGGATTTTAGTATCAGAATGTCGATAAAAATAATACCGAAATGTTTTAAAAGCCAGCCGTGTTAAAAAATTACCATCTTTCTTAGCTGGTACACAGATATTTTCGACATTATATAGCCCCACACCCCTTGAACGTGGAGCGGTCCATTATTGGTAGGCCAAGTGACGCTTAAAATTAAACACGGAAGTAAGGTTATTTATCGCCAATTGAGCAACCTTACTGTGTGTATTTACGGTATAGTATACTTTTTTTTCAATTCTTTACATTTATCATTATTTTTTTTCATTTGAATTCCACGATATCTAAAAATGCACAAAAGGTAAACACCACTTTTTAACAGCAAGGAGTTGTTTAGGCCAACATGTACCGGGTACTAGGGTAGGCTTACTAGTATGCTCCACTGTAGATCTCCTAGGTATCAACAACACAGAGTCCGTTTAAAACAAGGGGTCCTGCGGACTTTCTGTTTTTGAAATCACGAGTCTCTGACTCTAAAATGTGGAGTCACCCTGGATCAGGGGTGATCCAGGATTATTTGTAGGGGGGGGGGGGGCGGAACAACTGGCTTCTGATGCGAAGCCGACTATCGCCCCCTTGTTGCGGGGTTCGGGGCCTGCTGAATGACCCCGAATTTTTTTTTTTGGTGTGTGTGTGTGTGTGTGTGAGTGTGTGTGTGTGTGTGTGTGTGTGTGTGTGTTTTGGAGAGCAAATAGTGCCATTTTCTACGGTTTACAACGGTAACCATAATTTTGTTAGTCAGAATTCTAATTTCAAGAGGAGAATATTGGTGCGATATAGGCCTATATGTATTTTTCAGAAACCGCCACTGCGTTACCGATACGTACGTTACCAAATTGCATGTAGATTGTTAATTGTTGTTGTTTATGTTGTTTGCTCTCCGTCGGCACAATTATGTGAGTGCATTCGGCGTCATGCGGGCACGTACTGCATGTTTCTACAATGTACGTTGTCCATTCCTCTTTGCTACATTAATTGTCATGCCGAGTCTGATATCCATCGATACATACGTTACCTATGGTTTTAATAATTGTTAGCTGCCTCCAACTTCTGGTGATCCAACACCTAATTTTGTTTACAATATATGTAACAAAGAGAAATAAATATGCATTGTAAAAACATACGTGGGCGCATAGTTGCACCGACGGACAACTAACAATGTAATCAACAACAACAACAATCTACACACATACGTTACCGATACATACGTTACCAAATTGCGTGTAGATTGTTGTTGCTGTGTACGTTGTTTGTTGTCCGTCGGCGCAACTATGTGAGTGCGTGAGACGTTATAAATGCGCGCACGTATGTTTCTACAATGCACATTCCTCTTTGTCATAGCGAGTTTGATATCCATCGATAAGTTATAATACTGATGCATTTATGAAGATCTACTGTAAAGATGTAATTAACCATCAGTTACCTGTATATATGCCATTTAATTTTTATACTTGTGGTTGTTTCACTATGAAAAAAAGATGTCGTTACAAGGTGCGTGACACATCTGCCCCTAGTGAGTAAATCAGTTGTAGATAACGGCGCCTAGAGTGGGTGACGTGTTCAATAACTAAACTAGTTTCTGGATAGTCGTAGTTTTCCCATAGCTGATAACCTTTAACCCGAATTCATCAATTTGTCTAATTGTGCACTCATCTTTTTTTAAACACATCTACATGTACTTTGGTTTTAGTTAGGGTGTGGGGAAACGCCTTGGCGATAAAGTAAAAATCGTGAAATATCAAAGAAAATTTATTTGGCTATGCATATAGGTCAAACGCACAATGTATGCATTCAAACTAGTCTTCTAAGTAAATGTGTTAGCCCAAAGAGGTATATCTGTTGTACCTCGTTGGTTAGACCGAGTGTTTCTCAGCGCAACCAGCACAACTACCACAATCCCTGAGGTTTATTTCTGCCGCAGACCTAATTTGGAAAGATTCGATTCGAGATTCATTGTCCCTAGATAGTAAATGACTACTGGTCTTCAAATTTGCTCAAATATATTTATAATGTAAAAGTAAGCGCAATCTCCACACAGACTATCAAAAGGAACATGTCCCTTGTAGATATTTTTCTTCAAAATGTTATTCTAAAATTCGGCAAAAACGCTGAAATCGTTTCACCTGAGATTTGTGCCGGCGGCGGGCAGGAGCACGTTCGTACGTCTCAGAGACGCACTGCCTTTTTTTCCGAACCAGGAAGCCAGTGGCACGCAGACGAGACTCCTGCTCTAATCATGAATAATCGTTTGTCCCTTGACTTGTACATTTTAATCGACGCGGTGTTTTTTTTTCCACCCCGCATCACGCGCCCAGAACCTGAGTTTTGACCAGGACACCGCCTGGAAATTAAGATAGATATTTAAAGTCATCATTTCTGTGTCCTCTGTGCTATGGATTATTGACTATACTGGCTTATCTCAAAGACATAGGACACCTTCCTCGGCGTAGAAAGATAATCAGGACGAAGTGTGTGCATTTAGATGACGTCATGCTACGGTGGTATTATCTACACGCAATTTTTCTTTCGCTTCTCTCGTTATATCCCCCCCCTTTTTTTTGAAGTGGTAGATGTCACCTATACGAAGTAATGAGAAGCGGACACGGTTCCTAGTGGACTTCTATTCCTGTTACGGAGGGTACTCCTGTTACACGAATTCAATTATGATGCACCGATATTTGAAACAAATCTCTCCATTTTCAATCTTTCCGCTGTGCTGCTGCTTAACAAAGCGTTGTTTATCCAAGGTTAGATTTTCTCAGAAAAGCGTAAAGATAATTTAAATCCAGGACAATTTCATGACTATTATTGCTATCTTGAAGACAATATTTCCACGATTCCACGTTTTGTCGTGGTGTTATGAGTACTTCTACTGTTTAAAGTGTTTTTATCGAAAGCTGAAAAGAAACAAGGCAGCGATTTTTTATTATTATTGATTATTGATTGATAATTGATCCGAATCACACCTAAAACTATTTATCTCTTCCTTGGCCCACTTCTGACAGTTCGTGAAAATTTCATCAAAATCGGCCCATAACTTTTTGAGTTATGTTGATGACAGACAGACAGACAGACAAACAAACAGACAAACAGGGGTGAAAACATAACCTTCTTGGCGGAGGTAATTAATAAATTAACACACTTAATGTATGCTTTATTTTTATTACATTTATTAACTTCAAAGGTGCATATGTAACTACGCCGTTAAGGGCAGAATAAGCAGGTGGTGACAAAGGGAAAAAATCCCGAATGTTGTCACGGTTTGGCTTTCTGGACAATGAATTGTTTCAGCCGATAATGTTTCTTTATGTTTCAGGACAAAACTAGCTTAGGCTAACATTACAATGTAAGTCCGCCTCCGTGTTTTTGAAAATATATCTAGATTTTTATAGATATGTCCACATTCAGATTCACCACAGGTGTAAAAATACTAATCTAATCGAAAGGCGCACTGACAGTGTATAACAGCACCATTGAAATCAGATTTATTAACTGATGATAAAACACGAAATCCCGGTTAATAACACAACAGCGCCTCTGAATAATGACTTGTATTGTTCATAATCGTATTCCTCGTCCATAGGTGTCTATAACAAACAAAAAAGGTCATTCATTTATCCACCTTCCTTCTTCTTCTTGCTCTCGTCAATTATCAAAGCGGCCGACTGTGGACCGTCCAGTAACCCTGCGTACGTAATGACAGCAGCAACGGGCATGCCGGGAACGTTGAAAATGTCACGTGCACCCACGCCTCCCACGGAGAACGGAACGCGGTCCAGTTTAACCTGGAACACGTCATGTAGTCCAGAGACAGCGTTGATACCCGGTACCCTGTTAAGGGCCCGACTGAGTCCGCCGCCCTCTTGAAAGTTCGGCTTCCACCCCTTAAACCATGAAGTGTCCGGTTTCTCGCCCTGAGTGCCGATGTTGTTCATCCCTTTAACAGGCATGCAGCTTGCACACTTATAACGAGATGGAGATCCTTTCTTCCAAGTCACATCATACGAAACCCACTTGTTGTAGAGATATCTCGAAGTCGCGGTTACGCCTGCCATAACAAAACCGTCCACGAATTTACCACTGGTTAACTCACTCACGGTTCCACCGGCGACCGCCTGACTTGCCACCCTTTGTATGTTCCAAGTGCTCCCGAAGTAGCCGCCCACGCCTCCAAATATTGCGCCCCCGACCACTCCTTGCAGGCCGCCTTTTACGTTCCCCGTGCTTACCACTCCTCCTACGAAGCCAGATGCCGCTCCCGCGAGAACACCACTGGCCACGGCGGCTGCGGTCCCGGTCAACGCTGTATTAGCCGCAATAAAGGCAGCAGCGTACGGCGTCGCAGCACCAAATGTTAAGGCGGATACAGCAACTGCTACTATGGGACGCCAGTACTTCTTAACAAACTTTTTAACTGATCTAAAGATCTTTTTGAAAAAGAAACCACTTGGATCCTTGTACTTGAGGGGGTTGTTGCGCGCGTATGTGTACCTGTTGAAGGACTGGGTGTCGTAAGGGTCCTGAATATGAGGGTCAGGGCTTAAGAAACGCCCAACATCTGGGTCATAGACACGCCCGTTCATGTGAATAAGTCCCAGTTCGTCAACGTGCTCGTGACCCGTGTATCCTCGCTGGGTAGTGGCAGGACGCACCGACTGACGTTGTCTCCAGTCTCCCGCTCGCCGTTTCCCAAAAGCGTTGTAGCTGAGACGCTCTAACACCGACCCGGAAGGACTCGTCAATGTATCTATGGAGCCCATATAGTCACTGTGAACAAAGGAGGTGGTGTTGGTTTCCCCAGTTTTAAATTTCTTCGTGGACTTTATGGCCAATAATCTCCCCATTGGGCCGTAAACGAAAACATCAGCCTTGCTGCCTTTCGAATCGGTATGGTGCTCGTAAAGCTTTCCAAAATAGACAACTCTATCACCGGCGTGGTTGATCTTGAGGTATCTGCTTCTGTCTGGACCATATTTAAACACAACGTGGCCAGAGGCTGTGTTAAAAGAAGTTGGTTTGTTGTACGAAGTCCACCGGATGTGAATCCCGTCCTTCCTGATAACGTTGCCGTTTTGATCGTATTGATAGGTGTGGTTTCCCGCCCTGATGACAGCGTTCGACCTTGAGGGGTCATACTGAAAGTGGTTAAGTCCCAACTCGTCATTAGAAAGTATATTTCCCGATTCGTCGTACTGCCAGTTTTGGGAGAAGCCATAGCTGTTGCCAGGATCACGAACAGAAGATCGAGTAAGACGATCAAGGGAGTCGTACAAAAATGTCTCAGATTTTGTAGTGCCTTGGGATAAGTCACTTCTGCTGACTAAATTATCATTCTCATCAAATACATACTGGCTGTGTCTTATCTTCTGCGCTTGTCTGTTTCGTGAAAGGATTTCTGTCAAACGGTTTCCAGAGTCATATGAATACTTTGTCTGTACGCCATTTCCATGAATTTCATCCAGTATTCTACCGGCGGCATCATAGTTTACAGCCTTCCATATCATCCCAGTGGTATCAGCTGAAGAGCAAGAAGCCTCCTTAACCTTCGAAAGCAAGCCAACTGAATTATAGCAACGGTAAACCTTGGCTCCGTTTGGATATGTCTGGCTATTGACACGGCTGGCTGCATCGTATGTGGTACGTATTGTTAGCGTTGTTCCATTCAAAACTGTCGACACGGAAACTTCCCTACCATGCCCGTCGTAATCCCATTCCTGGTGAAATCCTTCCGGTCCGTTAATTTGGCCTGGCTTCCCGATTCCTTTCTCCTTTGTGTCATAGGACCATGTCGTCACGCCCTCTGGCTCGGTCCTCTTAACCAGTCTTCCCAGTAAATCGTACTCCTCTTGTAGGACATTGCCGTTAGCATCCTTCTGCCAGATCAGTTCTCCAAATGCATTGTGGCGGTATTCCCAGGAGCCCATATTTGGGTCGGACATGGATGTTTTGTAGCCTAAAATGTCGTAACCCATTTCGATGGAATAGTTATTGGGGTCTACGGTCTGCACTAATCTGTCCAGAGGATCGTAGCGGTGCTTGACCATCCCTCCTAAGTTGTCAGTCACTTGTACAACCCGGCCCAAGATATCGGTTTTCTTACTCGATGCATGTCCCAGAGGATCTATGGTTTTAGTTACAAGAGCATCATATTCATACCGCGTTATTGCTGTCTTATCACCCGCTGGCTCTTCCTTTTCGATAACCCTGTCTAACAGATCATACTTATATACTGACCACTTTGGGGAAGAAACAGAGAAGTAAGGAAAAGATTCCCTGTGCAAGTTTCCATCGGAGGCATACTCTACAGCGTCATAAATCATGGTACCGTTAAAACCTTGACTCTCCTTGCGGATTTCTCTGTCAAAGGCATCGAATATTTTGGTTTCAGGAGCATGGCCGCTGACTTGTTTGGTAACTTTATAGGCTGCGTTCACGGGAGATGACGCCCACAAATACTGCCAGGTCGTAGATGTGCCATCAGCACGGTTTTCACGTACTTTTCTTCCAAGTGAGTCATATTCCCAGCTGGTGATGAGACCGTTTGCACCAACCAGTCGTTCCAGATTACCAAAAGCATCGTACACATAGGTTTCATTGTGGCCCATAGCATTGATTGTGGCAACAGGGAAGATACCAGTGCTCTGGTACATCTTCCTCGTTGTCCTTTTCTGTTGCGGGGACTCGGCGGCGGTCTCAGACTGCGCAATCTGGTTGCCATATTTATCATATGTATACTCAGTCATAAGCTCTAATGCATGGTCAGGTTCCCTTCTTATTCTGATAAGCTGTCCTCTGTTTTGGTCATACTCGAATTTCGTCCTTCTGGTCATGTCACAGTAACTTGGTGTTGAGTGGGTGACGGAGGACTCCGTCAACTGACCAATAAACCAATGTGCCGCATTATTATTGTAGGCATTTTCTGTCTTTTGTTCGAAAACATCTCCGTCTCCAGATATTGTTCTTAATATTGAACGGATGTTACCAAAAGCATCTGCATTCTCGTATCTCGTTGCGTCCGTTGATACCAACTTCAAGTTTAAGTCCCAGTTTTCTGTGATCTGCGTCCAGGGGAAGACGCCCAGTCTTGCAGGGGAACCAGAGGACAATATGGTGACATTATTTGAATACGTTGCTAACTTCACTTTCCGTACGTCACCGCTGCTAACAGCTATATCTAAACGGGAAGATTTCAGCATGCCAGTGAGAGGGAAGGATTGTTCATATTCGTTATACTGTATCTTGCTGTTGGTATTTGTTTCTTCTATCCAGCGGTAGCCAAGGCTGCCTCTTCCACTGAGGTCAACTTTGTAGCCGCCATATTTGTACGTCGTGACGTTCTTGGCCTCTCCACCAATTCCATCATCCCTGAGAACTCTTCTCACTATATGGCGGGACAAGACAACGTCTTGTTGGGGATAGACGGCATCATTGTCTCTCTTATAGGCCCCCTCCATTAAAGCCTTCCCTAGTGGAGAATATTCTATCTTTATTTTGTTGTTCAAAGAGTCTTGAATACCGTGCACAGCGGGGAGCATATTTTTATTTACGGACGTATAAACGCCATGGTTGGCAAAACCAACTATATCTGGAAGACCGTCCCCGTTTATATCTACGACTCGTCTCGGGTGGTCTGCAGTTGTCCAACCACCGGCAGTTTTTCCATAAGCCGATATCCAAAGTCTTTTCTGAGCAAAACTGGCGCCTGTGTTCTCAGATACATATATCCCATTGCTGGCGAACCCTACGATGTCCAGAAGACCGTCCCCTGTAACATCTCTTAGAAATCGAGGGTGATCGGTTACTGACCAACCTCCGGCGGACACGCCGTAATCGGCAATCCATTTGCGAGAGGTTGTAAAATACTTTCCAGTGCTGAAGGAAACGTAAACGCCATCGCTAGCCATACCGATGATATCAGCCAACCCGTCTCCATTGATGTCTTCGACAAAGCGTGGATGTTGCTGGGTTCTCCATCCGCCTGCTGTGTACCCATACTGTCCTATCCATTTCTGTGCCGGACCAAAGGATGATCCTAGATTAAGTGCAACGTAAACTCCATCGGCTGCAAAGCCGACAACATCTAGAAGCTTGTCTCCATTCACATCTCGAAGAAATCGTGGGTGATTTTCAACTCTCCAGCCTCCTGCGGTGTAACCAAACTGATTTGACCAAAGCTTTGGACTATCAAAATTATTTCCTTGGCTCAATGAAACGTAGACCCCATCGTTGGCAAATCCGACAATGTCCGCTCGCCCATCATTGTTGATGTCCATGACAAATCTTGGGTGGTTAGAAACCCTCCAGCCCCTTGAATACCCAAAGGCACTTGTCATGTGTCTAGAACTTTTAAGTCCTGTGCCAGTGTTAAATGACACATATACACCACCGTTTGCAAAACCAACTACATCTAGCAAACCGTCACCATCAACATCCGCCAGATGTCTTGGGTGGTTCTCTACCCTCCAACCGGAGGTGTAACCGAACTCTTGTGACCAATACGTAGGAGTTTTAAAGCCTCCATTGCCATCGTTCAGTGAGACGAAGACCCCGTAGTTTGGAAACCCAACTATGTCAGCAAACCCGTCGCCGTCCATGTCTCGAATGAAACGGGGATGTTTGCTTGTTTCCCAACCGTAATTTTTGCCGTATTTGTACAGTTTATGGGTACTCCTTTCAAAGGTATAGTCAAGGTTCAAGGTATTGCCATAATTGAACGATAGAGGCTTCAAACATTTGTCTTGGCTATCGCACATGTGCAACGCGGTAAGAACAGACTGTTTCGATCCGCCATAACCGGTCGGATGATATGTATATTTATAAGACCGTATGAGATTGTTCTGGTTGAAAACTTTGATCACCTTTAAGCGTTTGGTGAGTGAAAATAAAATATTTCCTTGAAGGTAAGCGGTGGTTTTATCTGGTCGTAGTTCGTACTGGAACTCAACAACGGAAATGCCGTATCTGATGTGGTGGAGAACCCCTGCCTCGGTCTCGGGTTGAGAGTATGTTATGTCCACTCCATTGCCAAATCTATCTTCAATTCTGCTGATCGACCATTTATGAACACACTGCTGCCCATTGCCGATCAATTTAGAGCCGAAGGACGATCCGAAAGTCAGTTTCCGTCCATCTTTGGTGTGGACGATGAATTTGTCGGGACCCAACCCGTGATGTCCTTTTGCTACAACTTTACTGTAACTGTTCACCTCCGTCCTGTATTCAGAGTCAGTTAAACCATATGTCCCTGACACAAGTACAAGTCGCTGACCGTCCAAGCAGAAACGATCCGTCAGATCGTTTTGGATGCCACGAATTTCACCATCTTGAGCGATCGTCAGCCCACATCTGGCAATGGCGGTGTCCAAAGACAAGCCCCACCCAATACCAAGAGGACCGTTGCCAGCGCCGCTGCTGTAGGTCATAGCTAGATCTGGTTGGATGTTATTGGGTCCTGGCGGCAAATCTAACGGGATTTTGTAGTGGACCTCGCCTTTATCAACATTCAACTCTCCCTCAAGATTCCCAACGAGATATTCGGCTCCTCCACCAGAGGAGAACACCAGCAGCGAAAGCAGGGCAGTGATTCTGTTTGCCATGGTTGCTGGTTGAGGTGGATCTAGAAGAACAGAAAATAAGATTATTGTACATATGTCTCCGTTAGGTTTTTTGACAAACAAAATACAAACTAAATCACTTAGATCGATAAAAATCGATTAAAAAATAATTTATTGTGTGATTAAGGAGTTTTAATAACCGCATTTTCTTCTTAAAACAGAATTTGCTTTATCTAACATGGGATGTAAGTGGATGATTCTGAAACATGAATAGTTTTTTTTCTTAAGTGTTATAGATGATGTGAAAATGTTACTTATTGTAACATATTTTCTCTTAGCATTTTCCCCATGACTGTACAGACTGGTTAATTTTTTTACCTTTATATTTATCTTTTTAATTATCTAATAATGTGTCATTTAGATATGCTTGTTTGTAGCAGTAACTTTAAGCACGTTTCAATATTAGAACGGCCTCGATTTATCCAGAAAGAAATTTATAAATAAATAAATAAATAAATACGGTCATCATTTATCATTAGATATAAGCTGGCTAAAGAGCGACACAGACTCTAGGAATTAGAAGATCTTAGCCTGAGCGGTAGAATACCTGGTAAAAGTGCCCGAGGCAGACAACGAAAGTCCTTTCTTGACAATTTTGAATTACCAACAAGACACCTTTGGTCATGGGCGAGAAATAGAACCCTTTAGCAGAATATCATCGTTCGTCAAACACCGAATCGGTGATGGCACATGAAGAAGAAGAATAAGCTGGCTAAAGAGCGACGCAGACCCCAATCTTCAGGTAAATCAGATTTTTTTGGACCTATCTTTTTTCCAAATGGAAAAAAATGCACTGGGTACTGATTTGGTGACTGTGAAAAAAGTTACCAATGACCTCTGAAACGATGCTGATGTGTCTAGCCTAAAAATTTGCCAGCAATGTTGATTTGAAATTTCTTCCTTTTTTATAATTTCCCCAATTATCCGAATAATAATAATTATATTTGTTTTGAGTCTAAAATCCAAATTTGTTCAGTAGACTTTACAATACAAGTTGAAAAAAGTATTTTAAAAATGCTAATAAAAGAAAATTTATTAAAAAAATTTAAAAAGAGACGTTTAAATTAAACCGCTATGCCCGTTATACATCATATGTTGAATTGCTGCTCGTAAGCCAGCTGATTTGTCTTATAAATTAACAATAAATATGGCGGCGAAACGGAATATTTAAAGGGGGAGGGCATAAATTTTGCCCAACCCTACTTATGGCACAGGACCAATCACAGGCAATAATACAAAATAATACGTGTGTCAACAATGTTTTAGTTCAGCAAACATAACCACGCACGAAGAGATATATTTATGTACATTTCAATGCTTTTACATGGCATACTGCATGCATTTAATTCTACCAGTGATTAATCTGTTACAGTCTGTTTACTTCAATGTAACCTAATGCGGAAACCGCTTCCCTTTGCATATGCACATAACATGTGGTATAAACGGAAGCCTAAAACGCGTACACCTGTTGATGATAAATTTCGATATTTAAATTATTTTATTAAAAAAACAGCAACATTTATGGATCACATTTCAAATCTGACTAACTTCAATGATCACTTATAAACATCGTTCAGATATCAGTAACGTGTCAATGAAAACGAATTTGGCACATCCTGGGAAAGGGGGGGCGCGCGCGGGGGGCAATTGCCTTTGAGCCCTCCTCCTTCTCCCCTATCTTCTTATTCTCTGTAAAAAGTATATTAAACACTGCGAGACTACACCAAGCGATTTCTACATCCCCGTGCTCTGTATGTTGTGGTAAAATTGCCCTTAACTACCCCAGTATATTTGATATACATGCAAACGACTCTCTCTCTCCCTCTGTCTCTCTCCCCTCCCCTCCCCCTCCTCCAAAATACTACATCCGACATAGACACTTATAATTAACCAAGAGCACTTCGGCGACTTTGATTATGGCATTTCTCATGTCTCATGCGCAAGAAATATACAGAAAATGAGCGACATTATGAACAAAATATGAGATAAAACAGATGAGACACAGTTTCAAAATCCAAGCTTTATAAGTAAATCCCGCCATAATAAATCACTGAAATTCCGTGCACTAAAATAAGGCTGAATTACCCATACACTTTATTGCTGGACTGCCCAGTTATGTCCAAGTCTCGCGATGCCTTTTAACTCACCTTTGATAATACTGATCGATCCTCGGCAGCACGTTCACCACGTCAACATTTACCAGTCACTGTTGCACGTTCTCTTTCCGAAAATATGTCCCAGCGCTCTCTAAACGGCCACTAAAAGGGTCTAAGTTAAAGTTCACTTGTCAGCGTCTCGCACACACTGGGATGCTATTGTGTAAACAGGACATTATATTAAAATCCCTCTATTAACATCCGGGTAGGGAAATCCCATCTGACAGTGTGCCGCTTAATAAATTATGGGAGCGACGCTGGAAATACGAGGAAGTGGGGCTGGCGGTGATTCACACACAACAGTGCTTCGTGTGTTTGTGATTCATTTCCTGGCTTTATTGAGAGGTTTTTTTGTCTGTGGCCGGTATATCCCAGGTGAAACGAAATAAACATTTTCCCGGATATGATAATGAAATAAGTGACCTTCAAGTGGATTAACCCCAGTATGTTTCTTGTCTATATCCGTCAACACCCCTTGTATGACAACGAATAGATTTAATCGTCTTTGAGTTGATGTTGAGTAATAATATGTAATCACATTTGTTGTGCTGCACATAGTTTTTAAGAATATCAGGCGCGCTGCACTACCGGGACACTGCATATTCAGTCCGTATATTTGATTCACTGCCGTTCGAATAAGTGATTTCGTTTTCATAACTTACATGTATAGAAAATTTTTATGTCTTTGGAGTTAGTTTCTTAAACTAAATTTTACGACGTAATGAAGCAAAGGTGTATTACTGCTCCCTGTGGCAGTAACCATGGAAATGACATTGTCGTCCATACAGTGTTTGGTTTATTCTACCGGTGGTATCCTGCCTTACGCCATAGGGTTATTATCATGCCTGACTCTCTACTGTTAAATCATAAAAACCGGCCCCTAGCTCTCTGAGGTAAAGATCGTAGTATAGCTGAACGCAGTGCTACAGCTCGTGCCGCGGAAATTTAGGTCGGTAACCCCCCCCCCTTCCCCCATCATCACCTCACACTCTTCACCAGCAGTGGCGGATTAAGAAGGGGGGGGGGGGGGTCAGAGGGTCCTGAAACCCCCCCCCCCCCCCCCACACACCCACACA